ATTTATAATTATAAACATTTCACTGAGACGATAATAATTTGTTGCTTCCCTCATTATGTAGAAATTTAGGAAGTTCAAGCTGTTAGCAGAATAAGGCCCAGGCTTCACCACTCAAAGGCCAATATTTGGGAGCTGAGAGTTGGTGGGAAGGAATCAGGCTTACTCAAGGGCTTGGCACCTTGGATGACAGAGGAGCTCTCACCCCCAAAACTCCATCTCTGGGACTCAGGGACAAAGGTCTTTATAAGAAAGGAAACGAGTATCAGATCATGTGCTCACTGGGGTCTTCAAACCCAAGGTGTGTGTCTCTTTTTTCTGTCTCCACAACAGTGCAATGGACCTTAACTTCCCTCCTGGGACCAGTTCTTTTTTTCTTTTTTCTTTTGGTCTTTTTGAGGCAGGGTCTCGCTATGCAGTTTAGGCTGGCCTTGAGCTCATTTTGTAGCTCAGGCTGGTCTCGAACTTGGACAATCCTCCTGCCTCAGCCTCCCAAGTGCTGGGATTACAAGTATGTGCCACCACGCCTGGCCCAAAGGAGAAGGAAATTCTTTTTTTTTTTGTGGTACTGGGAATCGAACTCAGGACCTTGTGCTTGCCAGGCAGGCACATGTGCCACTGAGCTACATCCCCAGCCCCTGGCCAGTTCTTATGGTTCTTTTTAAACATTACTTTTCTACAAGTTAAACCTCACCCTAATTTACACGTTTTGTGTTAGTGGGTCCAAAGGATCTAAAAAATAGAGGTAGTACATATTGATATTATCTGAAGATCAGCAGACTTACTGAGTTCTGTAAACCTAAAGAAAAATTATTTAGCATTTAAGATCTTTTGTGTGTGCTGCTGGGGATCAGCTGAGGGGTCTTCAGGCCAAGCTTTATCCCTAGCCCCTTCTTAATTTTATTTTTTAATCTTGAGACAAGTTCTTCCTAGGTCGCTAAATTGTCCAGGTGGAATTTCAACTTGCAACCTCCTGCCTCGGACTCCCACCATGCTGGGATTACCAGAGTCTAACTCCACACCCTGCTAGCACTTAACATAACAATTTAGGTGAGGATTTTCTGCAGAATTTAGAGTGCCAGCTCAAAGGGAGGGGACCTGAAAAGGATTAGGGAGGGAAAGCAACCTTGCAGAATAGTAAAGGGGGAGAAACAAAAGCAGCTCTGCCAAGGACAACTCCCAAAGCAGTAGCCATTGTCCTAAAATCAATAAGAATTTTTATTAAAAATAGCTTATTGTTTTGAGAAAATCACTAGGTTTCCACCACAAGTCTTTTTTTTTTTGGTTTTTCTCCGGTACCGGGAACTGAACTCACAACCTTGCGCTTGCCAGGCAGGCGCTTTGCCGCTGAGCTAAATCCCCAGCCCCTCCACCACAAGTCTTAATCCCACTAAAATTAATCAGAAAATTGATTAAATGTTTTACTCAAGAAAGCAAATTTTTTCCAAAAAAATACTATGAATTACACCGTACAAAAAGTTCTTTCCTAGACTATATTTGAAAAAAATCATATTTTGTAGTAGTGAGCATCGAGTTCTTATTATCTGCTCTTATAAAGTAACAAGACAGAAATTTAAATTCTTTTTTTTTTTACAACATACTAAGGTGGAACAGACTCAAAATGAGCAGGAGTTTCATCTGCATAACATTGTTTTTTGTTCATTGTGCCTCAGAGTTCATTGCTGTATTAATATCCACCCACATTCTTTCTTGCCTCATCTTTACTGGTATGGTAATGGGTAGAATAGCATTTTAAAATTTTATGATCTATGGGTCTGGGGATTTAGCTCAGCGGCACAGCACCTGCCTGGCAAGCATGAGGTCGTGAGTTCAATTCCCAGTACCAGAAAAAAATTTTATGATATATGATTAAAAATTGAGTTTCTACAAGATCACTGAAGTATGAAGGCTCAGGATTTTTAATTTACATATCACATTAGTAAGGTTTGGATTAAATTCTTTTTTTTTTTTTTTTTTTG